TTTATTATGCTTATCATGTGTTTAAAACACCTGCAAGATTTCAAAGCATTCGGTTTTGCAGATTCAAAATTAAATTGTAGGTGAAACGAAGTTCACGAGGTCAGCTAGTACTAAATAAATCACGAACAAAATAAATAAATACGAAGTCCCAAAACAACAATAAAACATTCTTCACGAGCTAGATTATGAAAAAAAAAATTGTTTATTTGGCCCCCAAAAAATTTTGACATTTTTACTTCCCGAGCGTAAGCAAAGGAAGTATTGTAATCGAGTCCGTCGGCCGACTCTCTACTTTTACGTTTTCTCGATCTTTCATGACCCCTAGAAGACGAAGAAATAGGTCTCCCATTTCCGTCTGTCTGTCCGTCTGTCCGTCTGTCCGTCTGTCCGTCCGTCTGTCCGTCCGTCTGTCCGTCCGTCTGTCCGTCCGTCTGTCCGTCCGTCTGTCCGTCCGTCTGTCCGTCTGCCGTCCCGGATTTTTATTAGACAGATAATCTCCGAAAGTACTCGACCGATTGTTGTGAAATTTTGTACTTATATTAAGAATATCATGTAGATGGTAAAACGCTAACCAAAATTTGTCTAATCATCCCCACCACTAATGCGATGACGTCACTTCAAAATTGTACATAGTAAATGGTTTTTCAATTGTATAAAATAACATAGTCCTACACATGTAGTTTACAACTCTGAATCGACTTTTCACCCGAAACGTCCAGATTTTTGGAAAAAAAATCAAAATTATAAAACAACATTTTGAAATTTAATTTTTAATCTGCTAACCAGAATGCTTTGAAATGTTGCAGATGTTTTAAGGCTATAAAGAGCATCATAAATCTTTAGTCAAAAAATATTTGCTTATCCCCTCCAAAAACTTGATGACGTCAGCTCAAAAGTTTGTGGAATGAATCATATCTAAAATGTACAAAATATGATCAGTCTGTACTTGTGATCTATCACTCCACTCATATTTTTTGGATTTGCATATACAGGGTGATTCAAGAAAATAAATGAAAGCGTAAATTTATTTTACTGATTTACTCAGGAACTACAAAACCGAATGCTTCGAAATCTTGAAGATATTTTAAAATTATCATAAGCATGGTAAATTTTTGATCAAAACGTATTTGGTCGTCCCCTCTAAAAAATTTATGATGTCACCACAAAATTTTGCTGAATAAATCCTATCTAAAATGTACAAAATATGATGAGCCTCTTCTTGTGATTTATCATTCCATTCAAATTTTTTCGATTTGCATATACAGGGTGACTCAAAAAAATTAATGAATGCGTAAATTTATTTTATTGATTTAATCAGGAACTACAAAACCAAATGCTTTGAAATCTTGCAGATGTTTTAAGGTTATAAAGAGCATAATAAATTTTTAGTCGAAATATATTTGGTTATCTTCTACAAAAAACTGATGACGTCAGCTCAAAAGTTTGCCGAATAAATCGTATCTAAAATGTACAAAATATAATGAGTCTGTACTTGTGATTTATCATTCCATTCATATTTTTGGATTTGCATATGCAGGGTGACTCAAAAAAATTAATGAAGGCGTGAATTTATTTTATCGATTTAATCAGGAATTACAAAACCGAATGCTTTGAAATCTTGGGAATATTTTAAAGTTATTATAAGCATGGTAAACTTTTGTTCAAAATGTATTTGTTCATCCCTCCTAAAAAAATTGATGACGTCACCCTTAAATTTTGCTGAATAAATCCTATCTAAAATGCAAAAAATATGATGAGTTTGTACTTGTGATTTATCATTCCATTCATATTTTTTAGATTTTCTTGAGAGGTGGTTCAAAAAAATTAATGAAGTCAATTTATTTTATTGATTAAATTAAAGGCAACACTTATTATTAGTATTACACCCGAACCAACCCAATTTGGTAGACACAAAATTTGTTAAAGGAAAAACTCGGTTGAAACATAAGGGTAGCACGCTTATTTACATCGACTTTAACATTACAGACCTGCATTTGTTTTATGCGCTCACTTGGTTCCGCGAATGTGGAATAGACATGTTTATAATCAACCAATTGTGAATTTCACCGTCAAGAATTAAAATAAAACCCAATGTTTTATATAATAAGCGGAAGTCGAAGCAATAAAACCGATGGTCGTTTTGTTTACAGTTTCTCTGTTTGACTCTCACGTATGCTGTTACGCCTGTCATCTTAAATTAAGAATGTTTATACATACAGGATTTTCAGTTGCCTCTGATACGTATACGTGAGTAAATTGTTTCGTTATTTTATTGATTATTACAAATCAATAATCAAAACGACCCAATTCATTTTCCCGAAAATTTGAGAATATAATAATTTTATTATTAGTATTACACTACATCTATCCTAACTGGTATAGGTGTCCTTGCAAAAATGTTGATGACGTCATCGCAATTTTTTTTTAAATTCCCACTACAAAAATGTAATGAGAAAAAAAACACAATAGGCATGCAGTCGTCAAGTTTCCGACAGCGAGGGAAGTACTGTCTAAACTCTTTAGACCAATTTTTTAACTAACAACTGCTATAAAAGTATACAATGGTATGGAGAGAGAAGGATTATGTCTATATACCTATTGCATCATGGAATAGGGACAGAAATACGCAAGAAAATGGTACCGTGTTTGTCGTTTCTGTCGATTTAAAAGCCGCATTCGACGATGTAGATAGAGAAAAAAATAGTCAGAATCAAAGAACTGTACTACGTAAAACAGGACGACCAATGTAGGACAGAATGGGAAAAACAGTGAACATTTTGATACGATTTCTTTGGTCTACCTCTTCCTCTTTTAGTTTGAACTTTAGCGTCCCATACGTTCTTTTGTATTATGTTACTCATTGGTTCAATTTGCAGTTCCTCCCTGATTGTGTTATTTCTTACTCTGTCAGATTTTGTAATTACCTTTTTTTTCTTAGGTATTTCATATCTATCGCGTTTATTTTGCTTTCCACCGACCGTGTTAATACCCAATTCTCGCTACCATATGTCAGAACCGGCCTGAAGATAGTTTTGTACACTGTCATCTTTGTTTTTTCGGATACTTCTTTCTTGTTTATAAACGTTCTGCTTAAGCTGTGATATACATGTGATGCATTAGATATTCTTCGATAACTTCATCTTCTATGTTTGTATACATCCACTTGTTCGAGTTTTTGATTCCTAAATTCTATGTTTAGTTCTTTATTATTGTTTCCGACGGCCATTACTTTGACTTTGTTGGATTTATTTTCATCTTCCGTTTTTCCAGTTCTTCTTCACAAATAGACAAGTTTCTTTGTAGGTCGCTATCTTTTTCCGCCAATATTACTAGGTCGTCTGCAAATGCACATTCGGAACATTTTTATTGGTTGCAATTTATTGTATCCTACTTGAAGACTTTTTAGCCTCTTTTGCGTTGCTTTTAGCATTATTATTATAAACAAAAGAGGGCTCAAAACACGTCCCTGTTTCAATCCATCTTTTATTTCGAACATCTGAGACTGCGCCTTCTTTTCGGATATAACATTTGTTCTGCTCGTATAGACTTTTTATTGCTTTTTGTAACTTTGATTTATTTTTCTCTGTTCCATGCTTCTCCAAACTTCTTTTTGTGACACTCGGTCAAACGGTTTTTCAAGATGTAGAAAAGCAATATATGTGTATCTTGGATGCTTTTGGCTTTTCTAAACCCACTTTGAGATTCAGCTAGTGTGTTTTCTACTATAGTTATTAGCTTTTTGTTTAGTATATATTCATATGCTTTGGAGACAAAACTTGTGTGATACCTCGGTAGTTTGAACAGTCTCTTTTGTCTCTTTTCTTGAATATTGGCATGATAATACCAATTTTCCATTCTTCTGGTATTCTCCCTGTATTTCAAGCTCAGTTGAAAATTTCTTTTATTAGTTGTAAGCCTCTTGGGCTTAGATTTTGCAGCATTTCTGATGTTATTTTGTCGTGGCTGATTTTCCCTTTTTAATTTGTGCTACAGATTCAATCACATCGTTCATACCGATTTCACTGTTTTCTTTTTTTCGGTGCAATTTTCGTCATCATATGATTTCCCATGCTTTATTAGTTTTTTGAAACCATTTTTTCTAGATGGCAGTTGACTTTGTTCCACTCCCAGGTGTCTTCGTTTATTGTTAGTTTGTTGTACCCAATTTTTACGGTTTTTCCTTTTCCTTTTTCTTCCTTTGCCCTTAGTCGAATCTGTCTGTTCTTTATTCTTTCTTCTGGAGTTTGGTCGTCGTTTATTATTCTTTTTTCTTTAACGTTCTTTAATTTGTACTTGTTTTGCATGATTACTGTTTTGTCCTGCTCTTCTTCTATTTGTATTAAAAGTAATGAGTAACTGTAATGAATTCCTTTAAAAAAAAGTAATTTGTAATTGCAATGAGTTACTATTGGTACTGAATAATGAGTAATTTTAATGCATTACTTAAAAGTAATTGTTCCAATCACTGACTATAACACAGCCTTAACGTGCAGCTCAACTTAACTTTTATTAACTCATTTCTTCTGGAGAGTTCGTAATCGCTGCTTCGAGGATGTTCTGGAGCCCTCCACCGAGACTTCCGGCGAACCGCTTCTAGGCTTTTCTATATTCGAACCCGCTCTCGCATCTTGACAATAACAAAGTGTAATTTTTGACTCTCATAACGCCTAAATGTAACGACGATATAACTTACATTTTTCATTTCCATGGATTTACAAAATTTAGATAACAAAACTTGTTGAATAATTCAGTAGTTTTTTTTTTTCAATATTAACAATAGAATTTACCTCCAAAATTAGACCCACATTTCATTAAATAATGCGTGGCAACTTGTAAGATTTTTTAGGAATCACTATTACGTCCTTATAGTCGCAAAAAAAATCGGCTTTACTATGCTGGAATAAATACCTTTTTAAAATTGTTCCAGGAACATAAGAAACCGGGTGTTGAAGCCCTCGAGTGTCACTGTTTCTGTTGTTAAAATTCTGCATTTCTTTCAGGTTCGGTATCGCAACAAGCCGTATCGTAGTGGACGCTGGTAGCGTACATCTCTCCAACCTCAATGGCTCCCGATACAAAATTGCCGAATATGTGATACACCCAAACCAGTCTGAATCGATCCTAATCTATAAGCACGATTTATGTTTAGTTAAACTAGAAGAACCCCTCAAATTCACAGAAAACATCCAACCTTCCCATTTAGGCACAATCGAAGACCAAAAAGAAGTACCCGTCCTCGGTGGTGGGTGGGGCCGGGTTTCCCAGCATGGATCCCTAAACAGAAAACTACGTTTTCAGAATTTAAAAACCATGGCATACGACGAATGTCAAAGGATACATAAAAAACGCAAGAACATTGTGGATAGGGTGTTCCATATTTGTGGTTATGGAGGTATCGGAAAGACTCTCTGTTTTGGAGATTCTGGCGGTCCTTTGGTTGATCCTAGCACGGGGTATCAAGTGGGTGTTTTTTCCGCACTGGAGGACTGTTCCGGGGAGTATCCGGTTTTGTTTATGAGGGTTGAAACGTATCTGGATTGGATCAACGACGTTACGAAACTGAATCTCAGTTTAAATTAATGTGATTAACTATTGATGTCAATAACATATTTTAACGTTAGTTTAAAGAAATGCCAAAAATGATCCATATGTTAAATATTTATTTTTATAATTTTTCACGAAGATGTTTCAAATAATAAATACTCCATTCGTAGTATTATTGATATGCGCATGGATTAAAACCGTACTATGACGAAACGGTGAGAGAACTTTAATTAGGTATAAGTAGTTGTGTTTAAAAGCCATGAAACATATTTGTGATAATAATTGTTACTTTATATGAACATTTTATGTAAAAGTAAGTAATAAAAGATATGTGAAATTTCATGCTTTTACGGTTATTTGAATCTCCAGCACAATGGTAATTAGGGTTACAATATATTACGTGACTAAGTTTTTATGGGGATATTTCACTTTTGATTTATTTTCTAATGCTTGAGTGGTATTCGTTACGATTATATAACGAATATCAACATAATTTTTTTATTATTTATAAAAATTGGACGAACAATTATTACAATACACATTGTTTGCATACAAAGATTCCTGCTGGTACAAAGAAGAAGTAGATGGTTCTGATGATGACGAAGTATCTGAATGCTTTCGAATCTGATTTATGATTTTAGCATGATGTTGTTTAATTAATTTTAAGTAATTTTGTTAAATTAAATTTAATTCTGCGTTTATTTGTCTTCTTTTTTTGCTAGTTTATACATCATGTGTCAATAGTGAATGGTTCATAAATAAAATAACGATCGCTAGTTAAATTAATAATTTTTAAAGTTGAGTTTTGGGAAATTTTTCAGGGTGGCCGGTTTTTTTTGACGGTCAGTGTATAATCTATATCAATTTCAGCAGTTAACGACTTATGCACTAAATTAGATAGAATGCGTTATGCTCTAGCAATAATAATTATTACCACACGGAAGTATGCACTGGGGACTCTCAGTGAAGGCCAGTAGAGCTTTTAAATGCAATTATTATTTCTGGAGTACATTTTCGACAGACGTGTAGGTCAAACTGCAGAAATAATTACAATGTATTGTACCTACATTTGTGATGGTTATGTTGTGTCCACCACGGGGTGTTCAATTGAAAAAGTCATCAAGTTGACGTTGTGTCAACGTTATGAAGTCTGTTTGAAATGAATTTAAAATTAAATCGATGACAGGTAGCGTGGAATGGTACAACCTAACCTGGTTATTATTTAGTTACAAAACAACGCGTAAATACAATATAACCTACACCAACAACACGTCACTCACGATTACTCACAATAACACTCGATAGCTTGACATTGACCTGTTGCATATGAATAGGTGCTGCATCCCACTGGCATAAAGTAAACATGACTACATAAATCTTTCATTGTAAAACTGAACACTCGCATCCTCAAAATTTCAGAAATAGTAGAACGACGATAACTTTATAACAGTGGGGGGCATATGTGAATTTGAAGTAGTACCAACAAACATAGACTTACTTCCACACTGCACAGGCGGCCCACATTCGGATAGTTCCCTTGTTTGTTTTGTTGAAGTAGAGGTGCATCCTTGGAGTCTCTTCGCGAGGTCAACTTTAGAGGAAGGTGAATCTTCTATGTAGCCTTCTGCAACTGAAGTCGATTTCCAACCTCCCAGTTCTTTCATTTTTATCATGTCGCCACCAGCATTAGCCAAAAGCGTGGCAGAAGAGCGTCTCATATTTACAGTAACCGGTATAAGAGTCTGCCTCTGGCAGTTGCAAAAACCTAGCAATTGAACGAAGTATTTCTGTCAGTTTATTTATTCCAGCAGGCTGCACATTTTTCAAACTGATAATTCTAAAAAAATCTGTGATGGGGTGTTTTTTCCGACCTCAAAGACAAATATTTTTTTATTAAATCCAAGGGATTCACGGGATACCCTTCTTCAATAATGGTAAATCTTCGAGAAGTGTAGGTTTTCCTATCTAGGATACAAACATAAAATTCCTACCCTTTTCTTGTACATTATCAATAGTTAATTTAAACAGCTCGTCACAACGACAAGCTCCAGAAATTCCCATAATTACTGCCACCTAATAACAATAATAAATATTTATTATTCAGATATTAAACTATGAAATACCATACTTTGATCATCTACAGTTCCCTTTGTAGAACTTTAGTTTTCTTGGGTTTATAACCCTTTGATATACTTTTAAAATATGCATTGAGTCGACCATACTTTGATATATCGATCCTTTTATATTGCTTCATTATTAATTTAAGCATTGAATACTTGGTCCACGTTGAAGAAAGAGCGACTCTTTGTGAAACATCAAGAAAATACGCCAATAAAACGTCCTCTTCCCGGTCATTTATGTTCACTTTTTTCTCTCTGCACCATACAATGAATTCATTAAATTCTTTATCGTACACTGTTTTGGATTTTGCAGGAATAATCTTCGAAGATGCTATGACAGCTTCTTAGCGAATTTTCTCCATTATAACTTAAGAAACAGAAACACAGTTTTTTCACAACAAATATGGCAACAAACAAGCTTAGCGACCATTCCAATACCTTCTCACTAATTCCAGTCCATTCATAACTTTGACACAAAGTGTCAAAATAATTTAATTAAACTGTCAAAATCAGTGTTTTGCGAAGTAATTAATGTCTTCGATAAAATAGTCCATAAAAGTCGCGTGTTAGGGCTTTAAGTCACTCGAGAAAATTAGATATAGGGTTAATGCGCCCGAAAGTGTTACGTGGGACACCCGGTATAATAAAAGTTATCATTTATAAATGGGCCATAAAAATGCGTTCCCACACTCCCTTTGGTTTCAATTAGTTGTAACACAGAAACTGACTATTGTAACTTACCATTATTTATAGTCATACTTACCACCTCTTTCTCTTTCACAACCGTACCTCCTTGAACTCTACCTTAAAACAAAGGCTTTAGTTACAATTTTATGAAGTTTTGAGAAGTATGTACAAAAAAAAAAAGGAATTGGAAATGGTGGTATTTGGGAAGAAAGTAAGAAAGAAGAAGGAAGAGTGGGCATGGAGAGGGAAGAAGATTGAACAGAATTCCAGTACTTAGGATATACATAGTAATAACTCAGATAGAGAGCATATTCAAGAAATGGATGAATAGGAGAGAGAAAATTTGGACATGATTATAAGAGAAGAATGATGATGTTTGATAGTTTGATCAAAAGTGCATTTATGTACGGAACTGAGATTTGGGGATGAAGGGAATATGAAGAAATAGAGAGAGTGCAAGAAAAATACTTAAAATGGACATTGGGATTGGAAAAGTATACGCCGGGGTAGGTATATAGTGAGAGAAGAAACAAAAAGGTAGAAAATGAGAGTGGAAGCGGGTAAAAAGGCGGTTGGATTTGAAGAGAAGTTCTGTGAGACAGGTGATTGGAAAATATTGCAAGAATGTTGGAAAGAAATAAGAAAAGAAGCGGAAAATCATGTTTGGAAGGAAAGAGACAAGTATTATGAAGGAAAGGGATATGCATGTGACGAAATAGAGTGAATGAGAGAAATGGGGAGGAGTATGAAAGAAGAACTGAGTGTAAGAGATAGGGATATAGATAAGTAAGAACGCAGATCGAGAATATCGGAGTCTAGATATAATGCAGAGTGTAGAAAAATGCTTAGTAAAGGAGGAAGTACAAAAGTATACACAGAGAGAGAGTTTAAAGGAGAAAAGAGTGATGGCGACATTTAGGTGTGGAAATGAAGAAAAAGAGAATAATTTCTGGATGGATGAAACTGACAGAAGGTGTAGGATATGTTGGAGAGAGGGAGAAACAATAGAGCATATGCTGGAAAGATGTGAATGATTTAGAGAATCGCAGGAAAATAGGGAAGAAGTGCAAAACGAGGATGGAAGAGGACTGGACTGGATGAAATTAGTACGGAAGATAAGGGAGCTATGGCAAGGGGTGGGCAAGCAGAAAGAATAGGACAATTATTATTAGATAAAACTCAAATATTTATTTTATTTATTTATTTATTTTATTGATTTACTAGCTGAACTTCGTTTCACCTACAATTTAATTTTGAATCTGCAAAACCGAATGCTTTGAAATCATTCAAATATTTTTAACATATGATAAGCATAATAAATTTTTATTCAAAATATATTTACTTATCGCCTCCAAAAAATTGATAACGTCAGCCCAAAATTTTGCCAAATGAATCCTATCTAAAATGTCCAAAATAGGATGATTCATATTTTTTAGTTTTACTTATAGGGGGTGTCTCAAAAAAATTAATCACTGAGTCAATTTATTTTATTGATTGAATCAAGAATTGCAAAACTGAATTTTGAAATATTGCAGACGTTTTGAAGTTACTGTTTGACATGGTAGTTAGGTATTTAATCAAAATATCTGTTTATCAAGCCCAAAAACTTGATGACGTCATCGCAAGATTTTGCCGAATAAATCCTATCTAAAATGTGCAAAATATCATCAATATATTTTCGTAATTTATCATTGTATTCATATTTTTTAGATTTACTTTGACAGTGACTCATAAAAATGTATGGATCAGTCAATTTATTTTAGTGAATAACTCAAGAATTGCATAAATGAATACTTTGAGATATTCCAGAAGTTTTTAAGTTATTGCAAGCATGGTAAATTGTTAAAAATATTTATTTATCCCCCCCAAAAAATTCATGAAACGGCTCACTCGATTTTCGCAGATAATTTTGGGAATACAATACAGTTATTTTTATTATTACACTGCACCAATCCAAGGTGGTATACGTGTTGATCGTAAATGTTGATTCGGACATCACAAAATTGTGTGAAGAAAAGACTCAACCCGAAAATGCTGAATATGTTTCATTATACTTTTGGTGTGAAGGAAGTTCTGTCCAAACAACGTTCGATCAATTTTTTGACAATGGTTGATATAAATAAAACTCAGTAGATGCTCATACTCGAAATACGAAGTATCTACTCGAATATCAAATCAAAATATTTCTATTTTTTCTAGATGATGCTAATATTTTAGTAGGTAACAGTTGATGGTCAAGTAGCATCTCGATACAACAAAAAAGGAAAACAGTGCCAGTGTTCAACCATCAAGACAAAAATCGAGTCACCAAAATATAAGTTAGTATGGGGTAAACACCTTGAGATCGGAATCTCTATGGCCAGTGTTAGAAAAAACGCACTGCACAATTTATGCATAAATAAAAGTTAATTACCTGAAAAGTTTTCGATATTCCCACTCCTAATGTGTTTTTCAAACTGAATGCACCTTTTGACGACGTTCCACGTTCATGAAAGTCGCCATGTTTAGTCAAAATTCACTCTTACAACGATTCTA